AGGAATACCGCTAACCGGTATACCACTAATCCTAAGCCAACTAAGTCTACGGTGCTGCATATACCATCCCCAAGTCATGCCCGCATGGAAACTAATTACAAGACCATCAAACAACCCAGTGCTCACCCCAGTCCAAGTCTGTATCTCCTCTGGTATAAAGCTAACCAGCACTAAGCGTAGCCTAAGCTGACCAAAAGACCAACCTGACCAGGTTCCTCATCCAACAAACATAAAACACTACCAACCAGTCTAAATACCGTCCTGTAAAACCTCCACCACAATAGAAAACCAACAAAATACAAACTAAACCTACAGGCGGCACAATGGCAGGAAGGAGGTGACCCACATGTCCACCTCTCGCACCCGCATGCCAGGCCGTCAATCCTATAAACCCACTTTGCCAGTTGCCTCTGAAGAGCATACCGGTGAGGAGGACCTATACCCACTGCCTGTCCCCCAAACAAAACAACACAAACATAGGAAAGACATAGAGGTAGTGACAGACCAACAAGGTCAGTGGGGCCTATCTCCCACCCGTTGTGTTAGGAATACCAGAACCCGATACCTAGGAACCACCCTAAGTAGGGTAACCCCACTGGGAATCGGAATCTCTGGTCTCCAACACCCCCCTCCGGCTCCCTTACAGGGCCCGCGCATCATCATATATATTAATTTCAGTTGCATCCTGTGACTATATTACCACAGAATTGAAGGTGTTAGAATAACACTATATACGTCATCGCCGTCTGTCCGACCGGATCCTGTTCGCAGGGTATATGAGAGGGGACCATGGGCTAGGCCTGAGAAGTGGAACGGAGTAATTCCATCAACTACTCAGAGAGTTACTCGGCTTCAGGTACATGACATCTTTGGCATGGGCCGTAAGTAATGAGACGATTTTGCACAAAGAGATGATACCAAATGGTAAAATATCTCTATTAGAGACCAATACATTTACACCCACCAGAAGAGTCTAGAACTCCAAAAAAAACACTACCAAAGAAGCTAACGAACTTCACAGAGTGTTGCAACTGGGTTTCGGAACACGTTGTAGCCATGGAGTGATTCTCAATACTACAATGGTTACTGAAACCTACTACCCAGAGGGCAACCAAGGGTTGCCCACTGAGGGATTAATTAACAATCTGGTGGAATAGATTCCTGCGAGTTAATAGAAAGTCTTCCAGAGAAAATCTATTGGTTGGATATGGAGTTACAAAGGATCGGAGTCAGACGACCTACAATGGTTGTAATAACGACCACCTTTGCAGATATAGCCGTGAATAAAACTGATCATTTTATCAATGGCAAAGACAATTGGAGCCAACTCAGTTTGACTTAAGAACTAGGCCATAAGTCTAAAGACTCTGCTAATCGGGATATTACTATTGGGGGTAGCACACTTCCTAAGAAGAAATATCGTAATTACCGAAGAGGGTGTGATGATTTTCAGGGTCCACAGGTGTTCGCACCTTGGAAGAAAACTCGACGTCACGAATTACGATTAAAGAAGTACATAGTTGTATGATAAATAGATGTAGTCTGCGAATACTCAGACGCGGAATATAAATATCGAAGTGCCTCTCAAAGCTTTAAACATCATCAAGCAACGGAGAAGAGACCTTAACAATATAATATTGTTTTTACAATTCTACCCTACTTTACCTACTTTACTTCTCTCCTAGTAGTCATAAACGAAACAAGCCAAATCTGAGCCTTCCTAGACCATCTCCGTCTACAAAAACAACTCTCGATTGGCCTAGACAATCTTGAAATCTATCAAGTTGTCTCCGCCTAACACGTGGTGCCATGTCTCCTCCTGCCAAACCCGTAGTCCAATCAAAGAAATCAAACAAACCCCACAAAAACCCAGCACGCAAGACCCAAACACGTCCAACCAGATGGTCATAACCCACTATCCACACAGGTGGCAATCAGTCAGCCAGGCCACCAGGGAGCTTTGCAGCACTCAGCAGCTTCACCCAACAGTACCAGCCAGACTAGAAACACTTAATTAGACCTCGCCCAACCTGATACAGGCCCAACCGGTGCTCGCAGGTGCCTCTCTCCCCCCAATCAGTCCCCCCTAAGCCTCACACACTAGGCACCCCAGAGCCCATCCAGCCCTCCCCAGCCCCTCAGACAGATTAACCATCCACAGCCACAGGATGGCCTATACCCAGCCCTATCAGGTAGCCATTGGTCTTGGCTACACTAATAGTACCCCAACCCTCAACATTGCATAGCTGAGGGGGGCCCACCAGCCACAGCCGGGAGCCACAAAGGAGGCAGCACCAACACCCAAAGGCAACAGCACTGCCACACCGTCCAACCCAGCCGAACCGAAGTCCAACTGCGCCAGGAAAGAGTAAGCAGAGCCAGCCAAAGCCAGCCCCACAGGTCCGGCAACAGGCACAGACTGAACGACGGGCAAGAGGCATCCCCAACTGACACAAAAAAAAGGGGAAGAGCGAATGAACAGAAGTAGACAAATGGAAGGTAGGCCCCACTTGCAATGGGTGAAGTCACTAACCACAGACCACAACCGAACCACCCAAATGTACAGACAACGAGAGTGTCCGGCAGCCAATCGTCCCACACCATCCCAGACAGCAATGTAAAACCACACCAGTGGGTAACATTTTTCATGGTCAAAGCCATCCCCACCAAAGCAAAAAGGAGACACCTGACTGAACTACCGTATATGCCGCAAGGACAAAACTCCAAGGGAACAGTGATAAACAATATCATAAGACTCTGACAGTAGAAACGAAAACGTAACGAGGAGGGGCTGGGTGGGCACCACCCTGCCACCTGAGGAATGATGTGGCCGGTATGACGAGTTGATACTTGGGAAGGTCATCAGTCTAACCCAAGGGCATTTTGTATCGTGAGAACTAAGGACTCCGTTAAAACCCAACAAGAGACATGAGCTGGCCCAAAGAACGACACGGGTGATCCCCTCAAATACAAGGTTCAATCCCCCCAATCGAACGCGAAACCTGCGAGTAGACTATAGACAGGAAGCCGAAGACATTTTACCGAAAGGGACTCATAAGCAACCCTGATGAAGAGCTCAAAGTGACAGCATTGTGAGAAGCCATCAGGCAATGAAATGAGAAGCAAACAAGTAATCCGCCACGCAATGCCTGACAAACCTCAACACCAAAAACCCCGGGAACTACTGAGCGAACTCAGGTATGTTCCCCAGAATCCAAGGCATCAAGGCCCACCATAGGTGCAAAAGAAATACTCGGGGTGAAGCGACAGCAAGGATGAGGAAAAGTACTTAGAACAAAGCGTGAAGAACCTATCCTCCTCGACCACATCGGCCTCCTTATATAGTGTTCTTCCCGCCCATAGTCATGTGATCCAAAGTGGTCACATGTGTGAAATCAAATCATAACAAACTAGTCATGTGACCAAGGTTGTCACATGCTCAAAACCCATGACCTCATAACGAGGTCATGTGCAAAACTCATAAACTAATCATAACGCAATAAACAAGTCATATGACTCGACTGAGTCATATGCGTGAAATCCATGACCTCATAACGAGGTCATGTGCAAAACATAAATCATATGTGCCAGGCCTACCTGCAAGGCACACTCGCAAGGCATACTTGCCAGGCGCACTCCCATGACTCATATTTGAGCCATGTGCGAAAGCATCACAAATCCCATACATAACAAATCATATAACTTGAATGAGTCATATGTGTGAAACAATAACATACCTGTGACTCATAACCATGTGTCACGTGAAAACATTTTCCTCGCCAAGCCATATTTGTGACACATTCCCACATTCTTGGAATTCTCCATTACCAGTACCAAAACTAAGTCCATAATTTCTATTGAGAAACCTAATCAATTAAAATTTGTATTTTATTTACATAGAAGCAAAACTTACATAATATATTCCTGTAGCACCCAAGGGTACCATGGCATTTGAGGGGTTTTGTTGAAACATTAATGGCACATAAAACCTTTACTGTATAATTTAAACTCAAGTGATGAAAATATCCAACTCTGAGCTGTTCTCCAAGGAACAGTGAATACTGAGAAAACAGATAAAATCTGATGAGCATTGTTTGTCATTGAATATTTTTTTGTATTTTATAATAAAATTGTTATTTTTTGCATATCAACTGTCCTTTTTTCTTTTTGTATTACTTCTCACTGGCAGTAATTTATGATAATTGGATAACAATAAAAATATCAATAGCAAAAGCAAATATATTGCGAAATTAAGTTGTTCTCTCATACTTGGTTTTGCTTTCCATGTGCTATATTTATAACTTGCAAGTAATAGTTAAGAGATACTAGTACATGCTACTGATTGTTATAAGTAGGTCAGTCGGTCCCAGGCAGATCTATGGACAAGATAATCAAGAGAGGAACTCTCCCTTCCTTTCTTTCTTAAATACTCTTCCATGCTTCTCTCCTATTACTTCACCTTTTTAGTTTCCCGGCTTCTTGTAAGTGACCTCCGACACTTAGCTCGGGGATTAAATCGCCGGGTGTTGGATTACCTATGATAGCCCTAGGTTCTCACAATCCACCAGGTGAGATGTGTAAGGAAGTGGGGTAACTGTGTGATATTAGGATTATTTCTGAGGATGTAGTCTCCCTACGGAAGTGCTGGTCCGTGACATAGGAGTGTTTCCTCTGTTTTCTCATTCTATCTTTGCGCGACCGAACATGAGGTCTCGATCAAGGGGTGGTATTGGGCGAGTGTTGGATGGGTAAATCTCTGACAGTAATTTGGCGAGATTTAATGTGGGTAGGCTTGCGATTTACTTGAGCTGTGGCGTTGGCTATGGCAGTAGGGTACGCTCTTGGCCGCGCGAGTGTTGTATGATACCGAATTTGCTTGTATAATTCATATCATAATATTATTATCGTACTGTATCATCAATCCCTTGAAGTTTATTAGTCCGATGCCACAGCGTTTCCTCTAAATGGTCCAAAAGTGGTGCGACGTAGAAGTAGAGGTATAAACAGAGTAAGCGTTCATAGCGCTTTCAAACACATAATTTGCCTAAATCAATCCGTAATTTACAAAACTTCATTAACCCACAACGCGGCCATTCCCTGACCGGTCCCAACGCACACTAAATCGCATTAGCACCCCCTTTAATTGCCCAAAAGATGGGATTATGTGAGCTTACTGCTAGTAACAAGAACCTTCTTCCTCTGTCTCCTCATCTCTGCCAGGCCAGTAGCGGCCTGCCTGGCACCTGTAGCGCCCAATGGATGACCGAGGGCAATACTGCAAAATGTTGGTAAGCTATAGATCACTTTGGGGGGTGATAGTGAACGTACGCTCCGCCCCGAGGGTTAACTTTCTCCTCCTCCAGGCCCAACTCCCGCAGACAATACACCGCCATACTAGCAAACGCCTCATTGATCTCAAAGATGTCAATGTCATCTTTCGTCAATCCAAACTTCCCAAGGAGCTTGGGGATAGCAAGACTTGGTCCGATACCCATGATCCTGGGTGCGAGTCCAACAACAGTGCTTCCACAGAATTTAGCAAGAATGGGCTGTCCCAACTTCTCTGCTGTGCTGCGCTTCATGAGGAGCACCGCTGCACCACCATCAGTCACTTGCGAGGAATTTCCACCGGTGGATTTATCGCCCCACTTAGGGAATGCAGGGCGAATCTTGGAGAGGGATTCAAATGTTGTTCCGTAGCGGATACCATCATCGGCGGTAACAGTAACCTGCTTAACCTCGCCGCTCTTGGGATCCTTGACTTTGGTAGTGATTGGGACGATCTCCTCATCGAACCATCCGGACTTCTGCGCGTGTTCTGCCTTCTGGTAGCTCTTCGCCGCGAATTGGTCTTGCGCTTCTCGGGGCACGTTGAAGTCTTTGCCCACGTTCTCGCTTGTCTGGCCCATAGGCTGTAAACAGTCACCCGCCTCTTGGCTTGCTGATAGAATCTCCGGCGCCAACTCGGGCGCCAGATCGGGTGTCCGAGACATGCTTTCTACACCTGCTGCCAAACCAATCTCGATAGAGCCGCTGCTGATTTGGTTCGCTATTCCTTGGATAGCCATCATACCGCTAGAACAGAAGCGGTTCACCGAGGACACGGCGGTGGAATTCGGGAATCCGGCTGCGAGTACCGCTGCGCGGGCTTTGTATGCTATGTGCGGTTCGTTGACATTCCCGACGGAAATATCTTCCACTAACTTGGGGTCGATCCTTGATTTCTCGCGGACGTGTTGGAAGAGTTGCATTAGGAGGTAATCTACTGGGGTGTCCTTCAACCCGCCCTTGAACGCCTTTGTTAAAGGCGTCCTCGCGGCAAAGGTTACCACGATATCGTCTGGGTTTCTTGAAGTACTGTCATGATCACCATTAGCTTAAGCTTCTCTTCTCCAGTCCCTGCTCACATGCTGGCGGAGCGAAATCCGAAGGAGGAAACTTACACAGCAGCCAAACCAGAGGGCATCTTGAAGTGGTTGAGGATGGAGTTGAGTCTTTCGGACGCCATAACTGCAGGTAGGACGAGTTTAGGATTTATTGAATTGGAATGAGTTGCGGTTTATGGAGAGATCAAAGACGCGGGTTTGAGAGTCCCGGGTGGAAGTACGAGTAGAGTCGGTTCGGGGTCATATCGAATCTGTTTTAACCTTGGTGGCAACAGCCGAGGTTGCGGGCTCACATGTCATCCAGGGAACCCAGTTCACATGCGATGAGAATAGTATAATTTATAGTCCCGGTATCAAGTGTTTGGTATGATTTTTATTATCCGTGATATATATGACACTATCCTACCTTTGGTATTCAGCGTTATGATACTACTTGTGATATGCTGGCGTATTTCTCGAGCCCCCGCAATAAATTTCTGCCTCCTGACCTCTAAGTTACTCGAGTACCAGGGTTGAGGTGGTGGGGGGTTAGGGCTGGAATTCAAAGCTTGTGTGTTCATTTATTTAATAACCACAAGTATCATACCGGTATTATGCCCGGTATCCTTTGGGCGGTCTGAGGAAGTAAAATTCACGACCAGATACACTAAGATCGTGCGTATCAGGATAATTGTATTGAATTAAACTAACTTAGGCCTGGATCAGTGAGTCGCTAGCTGTTTTAGGCTATGAATCTGGGCTTTTTCAAGGTTCAAGTAACTCAGCACCTCAGGAACCACTTAAATTTCAACGAATCACAACATTCGAATGCCCCCAAAGTAGGATTAGCGCGCCTGTTTCCGAATCTCACATTTTTCGGCAGCCCATAGGATAATACTGCAGCTGAATGATGTCAAAGGTTTATATAGAACTAGAGGGAAGTTAGGGAGAAATATTGGATTGTTGACGTTACATGGTTAATAAATTTATACGAGGTCGGTGATATGGGACCCGAGTGGCGATGATCGGTGTTGTAGAATAGTAGCTATAATCTAACACCTGCCTCTTGTTAGGAAACACGGACAGTTTACAAGGCGATCAATGGTGAAATGCGATAGATGTTGATCAATCGGGCGCACATGGAAGAATGCTGTTGGTCTTGATGAAGTGTTGTTCGTTGTCTATTCAACTATGGAGAGAAATTTTCTGCTAGTTATACATAAACCCGACAGATGCCGCAAGGCATTGTCTACACACAAATCAGGGCCATGCCCACTTCAATACCACCTCAAATCAATCCCTACGGTTACCAGACCTAACTTCTTTCTTGTACACCACAACACTACAATGGGATTACTCCATCAAAATGTAGTTTGGTGGTAAATGGCCACCCTCATGGCCCGGTTCAGTTGTGTTCGCACAAGAGTTTGCCCCACAGCCTTCCCAAGGAAGACGAAGATCTTCAGTCACCCAGTTCCCATAAAGCATTTGAACCCCTGAGCTCCTCCTACCTGCATAGGGGTGATTTGGTTCTTGACATCCTGACCGCCACACTAGCTAGGTATTCCACACAATCAATGTCATGAGGGTAAATCATAATATTATAACATCAAAAAACGAACCCATCACCGGAGCAGATACATCCTCAAGAGAAGGGGAATTATGAGCGCTGGTCAGATACTCAACGACAGAACCCCCTCGGGTTGGACAGTGGCGGGTAAGGTGGGATGTTATTGACAAAAAAAAGGTAGAGTTAGTAGTGAGCAAGACGGGATTTGGAGGGGGCTGCTTATCACAAACATACTACCAATGGCCGTCAAGTACTATACCCGTGCATTGATAATCATATAGTCGTGGAGTACAAGAATAACACAGTATTCACGACCTATGATAACCTTGTTCAGGGCAATGCGCCCAACCTTCAAACTAGACATCACGAGTGGTGTGTTGAGCAATGAAAAGTTCAGGGCATAGGACCCCGAGTGATTATATATGATGACTTCATACACTAGAAGCTCAAATAATTGGATCGTGCGTTAGGTATGATATTACAGTCAAAAATTTCCTTCTAGAAAGGGGGCGAAAAACACAGCGAAACATGTATCATCAAGCTCCTCTAAAAGTCAAAAAAAAAAAAAAACACCAGACTTTATCAAGGAGGCAACTGGAATAGCACATGGACCAGGTATCTGAGGTTCTATGTACTACTTACAATTGAGCGCCTGCCCCTTCTAAAGGCACTAAATCCGCTATGCACAGATTTTTTATTAAAAGGGTCTTAGATATCTCCTATCCCTCCACCCCCTCCCCCGTTTTTCTCCCCTCCGCCTCCCCCTCATCAAATATCTCCAACCCTGCTAAATCCTCAACCCTCCTCTCCAAAACCCTCACCAACTCCACCCTCTTTCTATCTCTCTCCTCCTTCTTTGCACGAATATATCCCTCAATCTCCTCCTTCATTGCCGCCTTCTTCACAAGCCTCTTATGCCGTGAACTCTTAACATGCAACCCCCACATATCCCCGTTAATGCAAGTGACCCCACACACCTCGCATGTCTTCTTGACCCATAAATCCGGCCTCGAGGAGAAGTCTTCGCGCTTAGGCTTAAGATTTTCCTCTGCTAGAGCCGAGAGGCTGCGTGGGTCTGGCAGACTAGGGTTCTCGCCGGCAAGGAATTTCTTAGCGAGGGCTAGGGCAGGGTCGGTTACGGTTTCGGTGATGGTTGAAGGGCTAGTGGAGTTTAGGAGGTAAATATGTGACGGCGGGCGGAGGGTATTGAGCAGTTTTATGCGGATCCAGCGGGTTTGGGTGCGAGCGTATTGGCGGGTTGCGGTTTTCATGGCTTCGATGCAGCGAGTGCGGGCTTGTGCTAGCTGTGTCTGAAGTTTCTCCTTGCCCTCTTCTGAATCTTGGTGGTGGGAGTCGTAGAGTTGTAGGTATGGTAGGAGTTCTTTGAACCCAATGCTTTGCCAGATACCCTTGGTCATGTCCACTTCCATTGAGTCATATGTCTTCTTCATCTCCTCTATCTCAGCCCACATCCCACTGTCAATCATTTTGTCCACTCGGGTGTCTAGTCGCTGCTTCAGCGCTTCAGCTTCGGCGTGTACCCAGAAAACTAGACTCCTATACCGATTCGCTTCTTTTCCTGCTCGCTGAGAAGCGTAGACTTCACTTGCAGTTTGCTTCCCGTCCGTGGAATAGTATATCTGCAGTGAACGCCGGATCTTCCGACGATCATTGGGATGCCATTTCTCCGCTATCGCTGGGTCAATGCGCTGGAGCTCTGCAAATAGCTGTGGTGTTGGAGAATCTCTAAGACATTAGATCTGACCCACAAATGCGTATTGTGGTGGAAATACAAGATTGGATATTTATCAGCCAAACCATCCCCCGCGTCTGGCAGGAAAGGGTACCCCTCCTCTCCCTCTATCCCAATTGAATGCGGAAACAGCAAAGATTGAACGTAGTAATGAGTCCCGCCAACCACAATTGGCAGCTTTCCTCTACTCCTAATCTCCTCAATCTATCCACTAGCCGTTAGCCTCGTTTCCCACAAGCCGCAAAAAACATACCTTTTTCTCAGCTTCCTTCACAAACTGACCAACACGATAAACTTCATCAACCCGCAGGAAACCAAACAGGTGATGCGGTATTCCGCGCATTTCCGCTACTGTTGGTTTATTGGTTATTATGGGGAGTCCAGCGTACATTTGCATAGCATCGCTATTGACGATCTCGCCATTAAAGGCATGGGCAATGTCTACCGCCAGCTGTAAGTAGAGTACGGCCCTTGTTAGTCAGAGCTTCTTCCAACTCTTTCTTTCGGGATTGGTGAGGTGGGGAATATTTTTTTTGGAAGGGTTTCAATATTGTGTACCTGCGATTTACCAGTCCCCGTGGCGCCAATAACGGATATGAGTGGAGGTAGGGGTCCCGCCATTTTCGCTTGTGTCCGAAAACGAAGAAAACGCCGTAATACTTCAAACATGCAAAATTTAATGCAAGCGTGAAATTCTCCCTGAAAAAAAACAAGTGGGGGCTGGGGTGAGCATCCATGATCTCAAAGGTCCGGGTAACCATTGCCTGAAAATTGGGGTTAGGGCTTCTATCCGCCAAGATGGCCCCTTCCGGGCATTTCTATGATATTCACTTTGGTCTTCACCAAACAAAGCTCCATCTTCAGAGTTCACCCCATCCGTCCTACCTTTTCAATCTTCTGCACCAATAACAGATAGCACCTGCCATCATCCCTTCCACTAAAATGGCCACAATCCCCCGTCCAAAAACTCCCATCGACGAAACCCTCTGGCGGGACCAGGTCTGGTACCGTCAATGGGGTCCCATAACCGAAGTCACAGCAATGGACTATTTCCGTATGTCTACTTTTTTCGACCACACCAGCAATAATGGCACGCTCTTCCAACAGATGCAATTCAACCCGCAATTCCGCGAGGAGCTGCGAACTCCCGAGCTGTTCAACCGACGACTAGCGACGATGACGGGAGTGGAGTACATGCTTGCTGCGGGGAGTGCGGAGAGTGGTGTATGGGTTATCCGGAAGCAGCTGAGGAAGAGTCCCAGATATGATGACAATGGACGGGAAGATGATATCACGGTGTTAGCTGCCTATTATATTATTGGGGAGAATATATATCAGGCGCCAAGTATTGGAGCGGTGCTGCAGAATCGGATGGTTGGTTTCTGCTCCCCCCCACCCCGGCCCTACCTTACCTTGCCTTTGCTCGCTCTCGATCTCGCTCGGAAGAAAATGCAATTAACTTGGATGAAATACAATAGTTAACAACTATATCCGCCCTCCGCTCCGCCCTCACCGTCGCAACAAACCTCTCCTCCTTCCTACCAACAACCTCAACCAATCCATCCTCCTCCTCCCAAGCTTCACAAACCATCACTACCGGCGTTGCTACATCATCCCAACAATCTGTATCAGCGTCCCAACCTCCTCCCTCCACACAATCCTCCATGGCCACTTCAACTCCTCCCCCACCACCACCAACTACTTCATCCTCCTATGTCAATGACCCCCGCCTACTCGCCCGGGCGCTGGACCTATCGATAAAGCACCACAACGAGTACATGGATGACCATGCCCCACTGCTGGGCGACCCAGCTAGCTTCTTGCAGTCACAGCCAAGCTCGCAAAGGAGTAGTACGCCGAATTCGCAAGCAGATGTCGCGGCGAAGAAGCAAGCTGCAGCGGTAGCGGCAGCCGCGAAGAAGGCCGGTGTGCAGCAGCAGCAGCAGCAGCAGCAGCAAGGGGTAGTGCAGGGGCAGGTGAAGAAGAAAGGCAAGGGGTTAGGGCCGTAGAGGCTCCGGTTATGGCTGTGTGTGCCTGCGCGTGTGTATGTTTGGTAATGGGATTTTTTTGTAATTTTATTGGACTACGGATATTGGCTCGGGGGATTTCCGGTATTTGGTTTGTACGATATATGGCGCTCTTAACATTCGGCTTAATACCGTCACGCTTTGCCTTGTTTCGATAGGGAGGGAAGGTCACTATCCATTGCAGTTGCAAAAACGATTCTGCAAGTGCAACCAATGGATCTATCCGTCACGTGGGGCCTAAGAAGAAAACTTTGAACTTTCCTGTTGGGGTATGTATGTCCAGATATGGCACGTGACGGATATATCTATTGCCCGCACCGGAACAAAAGAAGACTACTCGTATTATACCGAGTGTAGTAATCCAAAACTCGAGATATAACCCGGACAGTAAATCCGCTCACCACCACCACCGCACTATCATATTCAACAGAGTTTACACTGCACTACTGGACCAAATACAGGTGCTGTCATATTTTTTCCCTCATTTCACGTGATGACATCTGCTCACAACCTGCTATAATATTATTGTCATTTAATGTGATGATAGAAAGTTTACAAGAAGTGGTATATTATGTTAATAAAGAAATCTGCAAGCAGAAAAGGAAGATTAGCGGTTACCATACTATGAGACAGACTATATGTGCAATCAGATTTTCAATAACAGAACATCTGATAGCATGGGTTCGACATCTGGTATAATGTATTTAGTTTAAAATGATATTTCATAACTGATAAAGCTATACCTTGTACATAGTTATGAGAAAACATTTGAAAGGGCTATTGTCTATATCTTGTAACAGGGCCCCTCATTCCACTAGGCACAAGATTGCTATCATGTTTTACAAGAGTTCTACGATATTATAATGCCTTGTGATTGGTCCAGCAGTGTATAATGCTCTCCACTATTCGCGGATATAACTTCTCGTACGATATGATATGATACCTCGGCGCAATCCCTAACTACAAAACTAAAGAACCCTCTCGTTCCGAGCTATTCAATCTCCTAAGAAGCGAGGGCGAACTGCGGCCGGAACAAAAAAAGCACTCCAAACCAAGCCAAACCGAGGATGCCGGGGTATGGTACAGTATCTCAAAAGCCAGCAGCCGTCTATACCTCCCCCCCCTTTTCTTCCTTGAGCCGTCATTAACACTCACTCGGGCCCAAGATCCCCACCAGTCACTCGTGATCGATGATTATCTGCCTAATCGGGGGGTCGGCCGAGCCAACGGCCGGACCCTCAGAGTGATTATTCGTTTATGATTGAGTCGGGATTGGTTGGTTGGTTGACCGGTGGGTACGAGTGCCCGTTTGTGTGTGCGTGCTGATGGTTTGCCGGTCTCGTGCGGGGCACGAGAGAAGAAGTGGGTACCGTACTCGAGTATGTAAGTTCGGTTTCGTCTCCGGTGCTTGGGTGGGCGTTGCACAATAGTGGATTGGGGCAGAGGCGTATGGGTGCATGTGTTGCGCCGGTAAGCATGATAAAGTACAATGCATGGAGAGGAGTGTAAAGGCAGGATACCTAGACTATGGTTCCGGACAGTAAAAATCAACCCTCTCTTTTTCCAAGATGAATACCCCATGAAAAATGTTATTACCAACCACAACTATTGTATGATGATTTTTTAAGTTGTATATTTGTTTAGTGAATCTAAAGACATTTACAGAGCCATAAAGAAATCAAGGAATAATTGAACCCTGTAGATCATTTTGAAACTAGGAACTTTTTGCCTAGTACTGAATCCAATACACATTTAAAAGTAATGGTAAAATGTGCATATGTGTGATTGTTGATGAGTATATAGGGTTTAAGGCAATTTTCTAATAGGGTATGCAAGGCCTTTGAGTTATTTGTAGTCAAAGATATAGTTCTAACACATATTATATTATAAGAATAATTCTATCTACATTTTAAGAAAACCTATTAAAATGCATTATAATGGGGGGAATATTATATATAAAGATACAGAACTTTCTGCTGATATCATGGAATACTAGTCATGCAGAAGGGTTTATTTCATTAAATTTTATAAGTTAAATGAATCTAGAACTTTGTATATCTTCCTTATATTATTCATTATATCATAAAAAAGAAAGAAGATTTTAGTAATTTTTAAAGGATTCATGATTTATAAATGGGAAAATAAAGGGAAATACAAAAGTGAGAGATATCTTGTAAATTAATCAGCAATCCTCAATCCACAAAGGATTGATTTTTACTGACCGGAACCATACCAGCACTTTACCAGCACGGCATGTCGCCGAACCAAGGTGCAGTAGTAAATCATGGACTACCCGAGTAGAATGGAGTACAGGCGATGCATGTGCCCTCGTCCGTGGTTCCCCAAAGCACAAATCTACAGTGCTTGTAAAATAACAGCACTTGTGTGCCGTGGCCTTCCGAGTATCACAAATCAAAAACTGATGAAACCACCATGCACCTGCCCATCCACCCCAAACCACTGCCATAACCAAAATATATCGAAAAGTGCATATGTAATTAATTCTAACCCACAGAAATGCTCATATACTCCGCCCCTCTGGAGACCACTAATCTAGTTTCCATGCAATAATAATAAAAACAAAAACAATAACGAGAAAAGCAGTAAATCCCAACTTGGGTGAATAAGAAAAATGAGATAAGCATACCAGTTGGAAAAAGTTTAGGACAAAATAAAGAAAAGTTCCAGACTTTCCTTCTCCCTCCACCCAACTATCCTGAAGAAAAAGGAGAGAGAAAGAGTTCCCATCAATCATTAGACTCCCTTCTCCCGTTCGCATTACACTCATCGCACCAGACACCAAAGACAAACGTAGGATAAACAGATAACCAGTCAAGGCCATAAATCAAAGATAAAGGGGAAAAAGTAACAAGGATGACCGAATCTAGAGGTTGATACCTACCCAAAGAGTCCATAATCTAGCGCTTGCACTACACCCTCGCCAACACCCCACTGTTCCATCTCGGTGAAAACCGCCTTCATCCATCTCAAGTACCTCCACTCAAGGCTCTCTAATCCCTCCGTTTCCTCATTCCTAACCTCCCACTGGACCAGCAATCCCAGCAATTCATACCTGAAAGCGTCAACAGGCTTGACAACCATGTCTTGCGTGAAGACCTGATTCGGGCTACCGTCAAGACCGTACGCGTGCCAGAGGTACATTTCCTCCTGCGGAGAGGGTGGGTTCTCCACGCGGACGATGATCTCCCAGACCACCATCAACGCTTTAAATATTAGGACTGTAACGATGGGGAATTCGGTGTTGCGGGCGTTCTCATCATAAGCCGATTGCGGGGCAAGGAGAACGCGGAGGAGGGAGAGAAGGTGTGAAAGGACATTGGATTGGTCGAGGACGTGCATGAAGTGCTGGAGGGTTGCAGGGTTGTTCGCTGCTACGCGGGCCTTTGCGCCGTGGACCGTGGACGCGAGGGCCGTGTAGAGATCCATTGGGACGTCCTTTTTGTGAAGGACCATGCGGTCTGGGATCACGAGTTGGACGAGGGCAAGGTGCATGAGGATATAGAATGCCTTCTCACAACCTTGGAGAGCAGAGGCCAAAAGAGTGGGGCTGGTAGAGGCATAGGTAGTTACTGGAGGGAAAACGGTGAGGTGCTCGGCGTATGGAGTGAAGAGATTGCCGATGCCGGATATTAGACCCAGGGTTGTCAAGCCCATTCGTAACTTCTCGAGACCCTCCTGGCTCTCCGGGGCAAAGACGTCGACACCCTCCCACGCGGCACCTTCTTCCAGGGCCAATATCCCAGTCTCGTATTGGGCGTCTATGTCATCAGCAACCTTGCGAGTCAAGTCTAGGATTTCCATCTGGATCGCTGTCGCGAGAATCAATGCAGAAAAATTGCTCCCAAGGCCGCCAGCATCCAGGAGTTCGTGGTGGCCATTACCATTGAGCAGAATGCGGAGGGTCTTGAGGAATAGGGGAGGGGGGACCATCCGAGAACCGTGGATGCGCATAGTGTAATACTTGTGGTTCCATGCTTGGGCAGTCGGGGCTTCAAACAATTGAGCGTCGCAGGGCAGGGGGAGATTCCTAAGCTCAGTGTGGCGGAGCAGCCGAGGGGTTTCAAATGTAAAAGACACATAGCAATCCACAAGGTAAATTGTGAATGCCACCCTAAAAACGTCAGTGCCAACACTCGAAAGCCCCCCGGTAAATTGCCATACCTCTTCCTGGACTCTCTCTCAACGAATATCTTCCATTGTTGATCGGGCGGAAGTTCCTGGGGGATGTGCCCAGGGGCAGGACTAAAGTACCCATAGTCCCTCGCAATCTACCAATCCAGTCAGCTTCGCAATTTATCGAGTGATACGCAATGATCGCATACCTCGACAGCTCTAGCAAGCAGAACCCTACCCTTCTTATGCTTCTCTTTCTCCTCCGAGAACAGCCCATAAAAGGCAAATAATAGCAGACCCTGTAGCACGCAGAGCGTACCCTCCCGCTGACTCCGATCGGCATACTTCACAGATTGTCTATCTCCATCTCCAGCACTGGATGAAGGAGGATGGGGATGCACCATTGCCTGAGGACTTTCGGTTTTCACCAATGGAGGAGGGCTCATGCTAGCGGGAGGCTCCAGATCACCTCCATCATCAGGTCCCCTTTCAATCCACCTTTCCATCACACTTCACACCAATCAGCATGTTACGGAGGTATCATGTAGGAGTGCATACCGAAGCCCTGCCTCCCACAGCTGCTCCCGAAGCGTCTGATTCGTCGGATCGTAACGCCCACCAAGCGCGCATACACTTCTGAGGAAGCTCGCCAAAACGGTTGTGGGTTGAAAGGTGGGCTTATGCAGCAATGGGAGAAACGGATGAAAGGCCGTGGGGGCAAAGTAGTAATCCGCATAATGGGAAATGACCTCCGGAGGTAAGCTGCAAAAATCAGCACAGCACTGAATAAGCTCGAGGATGTTGTGCGGTACTACAAAGGGAGTTTCCCAGGAGTATAGTAAATCCTGAGCCCATCCACTGGCTTTTTAGGCAACTAAAACATATTAGCGGTGCGAGCAGAACGGGAGAGAAGGAGGAATACATCGTCTGCAATGGGGAAGCGCCTCCAGAATTGAGACGTCAACTTCTCCACATCATCGCGTGGCTCGTCCTCTGGGTCATTCTGACTCGCAGAATGATGCTTCTTCTGGTGTTTGGCGAGGTTATCACTGATCACTATCAGCATCTAGTATTACCGCGATAACCCCCAGGTGATATGGCGCCCATAGCAAGCTTACGCGCATTCGGAGGTTTCCGGTGCAACTGTTCGTTTACTGCAGGGATCTAGCCTCATTTTCGAGAGCACAAATCCCTTTTCCGGTAGGTAACCCTATGCCCGGGTCCCAGTAAACGAACGAGTGGCACGGGAGTATCCGAGAGCGCATAGGCAGCAATGGTCCAGATCGCCGGAGTGCGAAATCGCAAGAATTCGGGAAGCCATACGGTCTCGTGAACACCAATTTACATCCCGGAAACGTACAGTTCAGGACTTTCTTCGTAGAGTGCTCTACAAGCAAACGCCATTATCATCGTTAGTGACCCTTCATCTACCCTTCACGCAGCGGGAAAGACAAGGTAGCTCACTATTAAGTTTATGTCTGTTGTTATTATACTGTAGATCAAGACCTAATCAGCTATCGTATCCATGAGAAATATCAGAGGAAAAAAGGGGATTGATGTTTTTTCTTGGGTTCGGGTAAGCCAGGCGGTTTCCCCGAGAATTGGAGTTCTGACTCACTCTCGTGGACGACCTCTCATTGCACGTTTCGCACTCATAGGGCTTCGTCCTCCGCCATTCACGTTCATCTTCCTCTGTCCAGTTTCCCCTCGCCCTCTCCTCGAGCACATCCTTAAGTTGAATATCTATCCAGCGCCTCAGCCGCAACGCCTGGGAAACGGCACCGGTTCCAGAACCCCTCGACCCCGAAGCTACCGTTGGGCTCTTCCGATTATTATTCTTCCTCGCCATGAATGGCTGAGAGGAGGTAGTCTGGTCTGTCTGGAAGTTGTGGTTATGAGGGTATAAGATAGGGGGAAGAAAGCGAAAGAGGGAAAAAAGAGGGTTACTTTTTTTTGAATTTGGGTTTGGATTTGGGTGTGGAGTTTATTTGGTTTGGGTTGTTTAGTTCGGTTGCGTGTCATCGTTGCTAAGGGGGGGGTCAATAGCTTCTTTAACATTGAAGGCGCTTCCACGGCTTGCTGCCTTTGGGTATAGCACAGGTACAGGTAGAACGAACGCTCTACATACGAGCCCCAACACGAAAGAGTTCTTTCCTCCAGCAATAAAAAACGGCGACGACATCATGCGTTTCTTACTCTTTTTTCCTTTTCTTCCTTTGATCTCTCTCTCTCTCTCTTTTTTTTTTTCTTTCAGATTTTAACGTCAACCCTGATCTCGAGGCTCTGAACCCTTGTGGGGGGGAGGGGGGGCCGTTCGTTAATTAGGATGTGGGCGGGGGGATGGGGAGAGGAGATAGAAGGGCAAAAAAGGAGAGGATGATACTGTACTCGAGTAGATAGAGGAGGATGAATAGGGGGATGAATGGATGTGTTGTGTGTGAGCAAACGAAGTGGAAAAGATGAACAGGTGAAGAAGATGTTCACATTGGGATCTTTTTTTTCCCCTTTCAAGGGCGGTTATCGAAATATTTCGATAGGATGGCTACCGCATGTATCGTTTCTGTTTTTGATTTGAGGCTGAAGATAATGGGATAAGCTAGATGTGTGGCGGATCTCAGAAATGCGGGGGAGAAATGAAAAAGATTGTGGAATTATCGACTCTCTCCTGGCATCTGTATGGTGGTGTGCTCGAGCATCCTACTCGCAGCTCGTATCAGAGATTTGGCAGCCCACCTTGCGGGCGGTACACCACCCAGAAGCCCCCACCTATTAGTCTACCCATCCTACATCATCATCACCACCACCCATCATCAACTTCACCGGCACCCATAGTCTGCTGCGTTGCACCGCTTACTCCGTGATCAAAGGCCCAACCCGTAGATTATTGGTTTCTCTTTTATATGAATAGTGTGAAGTTAAGAATTCAACCTTTCTCAATCAACTTCAATCAATCGCTTCTTTGTTCTCCACAGAAATTTTCGAAAAGAAGATCCCTCGAAGAAAAAAAAAAAAGTTGTTTTTCCGATAATTATTTTCTTTTTCCCCTTAGATTAGTGTAATAAAGCTTTTTTCAGTTAATGTGTTCCCCCCTAATCACCTTGAGGGAGAGAGAGGGAAACCTTCGCCCCCTTTTCCCCGCATACTTACACGCTTACACCACCCTGATAAGAGGAACACACTCGAGTTCGGCGATTGTCTTCCCCCCCCCCTCCCCCAATTCCTCTACAAACAAGCGGACGAAACGGACGAAAGAGGGAAGAGGAAAGGAATAGGAGAGGAAAGAGAGAAAATATCTACGACATTAAACCGTCCCACCTCGCACATCGGGATCCACAACACGAGACTTCACCCTATCACTCCAATAGCCCGGCATCCTTATATCACTCCAGTCAGCACAAACTTACCACGACGCGGAAAAAAAAATAAAAAAGCGGTAAAATCATTGAGGAAATCCCCTATCGAGTTCCCAGATACCGGTAAGCCAGACAGAATAAGAAGGCCAGCCAGCCAGCCCCACCAACGCAGCTGCAAGCACAGCATTTCGTTATCAAAGATAAGAATACCCGCTTCAGTGGTACGCCGGAACCTTCCTTCCTTCCATAACTACCTTATCCATACTACCTACTCTGCCTACCTTGACCTTACCTTAGCTATCAAATTGCTTGCTTACTTGCAAAACAACACAGCTAACACACTAAATCTCAAACAGAGTATTATTTTTTTTCTTTCTTTTTTTTTTTCTTCTCCTTTCCCTAGCTATCTCTCCGCTCCTTTCGAGAGTTTCCTCCCGAAAAAGAAATATTCCATATATATATCTATATATACATATATATACATACAAAAAAAGGAGCACCCGGCCAATCAAGAAATGATTCACCAAAACAAATCAGATGCCATCAGCCGGTCGATCACTACCGACGACTCGTCCGAAATCATGGCGATTACAGCGTCCCCACGATAAGGGTAACATTGCAAAAGGCGATCAGGAAAAGTACCAGCATAAACTGTAACTACCGCCCCCCCTTCCTTATGGCCAGCCAACCACTCTTACCCCTTTTACCAATGACACAGCATTGAAGGATAATAACAATGAACGGAGCAATAGTCTAAAAGCCGTCCAAAACTTCGTCATAGGCGGTAATCAGCCAAATCTCGATATAATCGCAATCTCCTTTGAGCATAAATGTTTCAGTGAGGCCAGAAACAGAGTACTCCCCTCTCCTGCAACCCCCACCCTACATCTTCCTCACTATCGCCATCACCGCCATCGTGCTAACGCTGACATGTGTGAAAAACAACAAAGGCAGAGTACATATCTGCGATAAACGCCAAACTCCGCGAATGGAACTACGACGATATATCTGACGATGACACCGCACCCTCCTCCTCCCCACAGCCTAGCATCAAAAAGCAAAAAACAATCTCCCCGTCACCATCCTTACCCACCGCCTCCACCAACACCATCCGTAGCAACACGACTACCACCAACACCGCTACCAATACCAACTCGTCCTCATCCCCGAGTCAGCCCTCCAGTCCGCCACTGCCACTACCCTTACTTCCGATGGAGACGTCCAAGACCATGACCACGCATTTACCCACACCTCCGCAAGGGAAGATACCGGGTGGGGGAGGAGGGGGGGGCTTTGTGCAATTGTTTGATCCCAAGGTGCTCGACAAGATCGACTTGAACGACCCGGTGAAACGCACAGAATGGGTCAGGGCCGTGTGGGAGTACTTTAGTGGTGGGGGCAGGTGGATCCCAGGACGGTGGGACCAGGACAGAGAGGGGGGTGATGAGAGTATGGGAGACGGATGGGATCGAGATGGAGGATGGGTGTGACTTTGCTGTTATCGTGCGCTCCTATCTACGAAAGATAGCTGCTGGAGGGGTAAGAACCGGGGGTGTTTCGGTTGACTTTATACAGTGGACATCTGAAATTAGTTTATTGTACCCATTCTGTTTCTTCTGTTTTCTACCTATTTGTTTAAAAACAGGAAAATAAAATAAAAATTACTTATATTGTAACTTAAAGCCAGCACCTACTGTACTCGTAGATATATAGGCTACAGGTGCACCCGTGTCCACAAAGTTCTTGAAACGCCTGATGCATTGTAAAGTCTTGGCAGTCTTCAACCGGGTGATTTCAAAAGTTACTGTCCGCAAATAGGCTACCGGTATTTAGACCCGGCGCAGCTTTCCACAAAAACCCCCCCAAATTCCACTATAACTCCATTTTGTTCACTTAAGTTATATATCTGCTCTATTCACTACAAAAAACTGGGATTGATCCTGTATACGGAGGTACAGCCCATAAGTTTTGCACTTTCCGCTAGCAGGGGTTGTTGTACTAGCAGTAGTAGTGCAGTGGATTTGGTATTATTTCATGAGTAGTATGTGCAGAAAAAAACAAGATGGCAGTCACTGAATGTTTCCTATTGTACGTGGACAAAATTAACCGTGATTCAACAGAGGAAAATCTTTGGCAATGATAACCACACTCACCCACCAGTCTACTATCATGAAAACCAGAAAAAAAATTAAAAGATGTAAATACATAGTAGAAATTAATATTTGGTATACCATCCATCAGCCTTAATAATTGCCTCTATTCTATCCACCATTGATCCAGCTAAAGTATCAAAAACCTTTGAGTCAAGAAGTTTCCAACAATGAGTGATGGCCTCTACTATTGCCTTCTTGACCACATTGACATCACCCTTCATAAGATATAGCTCAGGGCAGTGCTTGTGAAGCTTACCTTTCACTAGAGACCAAATATTTTCAATTAGATTGAAATCTGGTGAATAGGCAGGAATTTCCATTAGTGTAATTCCCTGCCCTCTGAGCCATCTCCTAAAAGGCAAGTGAGTCTTAGAATTGTCAATGATAAAAAATACCTCTTCTCCAGTCTTTTCTCTGATATTCTCCCATATCTCTAGAAAGTCATAATGATTATAAACATCAATAATTGACTTCCTAGTAACTCCACCCCTAGCAGAAGGATCAGGAAAAACAGGCAAAAAAAGACCATGAGTTTGACTATAAAAACAACCAGTCATCATCTGGCTAATCCCTCTCTCCCCTCTCCTAGCCTTAGGTTCAACACAATCCTTATTCCATTTCTCATATGGGTATCTGAAAACTCATTTTCTCCTCTTTCCTCCCCCCCTTTCCACAGCTACCTCATCCCTCCACATTTCCTTCCTTCTCCACATCTCCTTTGTCCAATACCTATGAGCTAATGCCTATTCCAACCTCTCTTGAGCTAGATCCTCATCCAAATGAACTTTCTCTTGTACCATCCACTTTCTAAGATGCTTTTTTTCAAGTCTTCTCCTTACTGTCCTACTAGAAATATTGGAAGCAACTTGCTTGGCAATGTCAAAATATGTAGTATGGCGATTTTTAAGACCTTCCTCCACTATAGCATTATCTTTTGAGTTGGTAGTTTCAGGATGTCTTCCTCTACCCTTATTCTCCTTGTTCTCCTGATGTCCCTTTGCAATTGTGTCTCGGACAGTAGTGTAGGGAATATTAAGGTAGTGGAAAATTTGCTGATATCTCATCTGAGACTTGTGTAACCTGAGAATCCTCCTCTAGGTAAACTCAGAGAGATGTGTGGAGAGATGTAATAATCCCTCTTTGGATAGTTAGTTCTTGGTGATGGGGAACAATACCTCTCTTGTTCTTCTTCTTGGTTTTATGATAGCTCTAGACCTATACCTACGTTACTAATAGTACAAGACCTTTGTCTTCTATTGGGAACAACTATCGTAAACTTTCTCTAATTCTTTTTCGTAAAGAGCTCTCTTTGGTGTAACAATAATAAAGTTGTGATAATGATAAAGAATGTAAAGATATTTTATATTCGTTAAAGTAATAAGTAGGTAAGGTACTTAGAACAAAGTATGAAGAACCTATCCTCCTCAGCTATACTGGCCTCCTTATATAGTGTTCTTCCCACCAGTAGTCATGTGACCCAAAGTGGTCACATGCATGAAACCAAAATATAACCAACTAATCATATGACCAAAGTGGTCACATGCTCAAAACCCATGACCTCATAGTAAGGTCATGTGCGACAACTCATAAACTAATCATAACACAATATACAAGTCATATTACTCGAATGAGTCACATGCGCAAAACCCATGACCTCACAATGAGGTCATATGCTAAATATAAATCATATGCGCAAGGCATACCTGCAAGGCACCCTTGCAAGGCATACTCGCCCAGCACATATCCCATGACTTATATTCGAGTCATGTGCAAAATCTATCAAACCATAGCATCATATGACCCAAATGTGTCATATGCATAAAACAAGAACATACCTATGACTCATAATTATACGTCATGTGAAAACCTTTTCCATGCTTAGCTATATTTGTGACAAGAGAATAGGTTTTTTGACATGACTGGGAAGAATAAGAGGCATAGTTTATTAAAAAAATTGAGTAGAATGGTTTCTTCTTGGTTAACTTAGAGTAATTTTTTTAGGTAGTGTTGAGAGTGTGAGGCGATGAAGAGGAGTAGGTTTCTACTGATTGTTGAATTACAGTTAATTTTGTCAATGCACAATATATGTGCAGAGACAGTGTTAGGGACAGGCCTTTGTTCAAAGTAGTGGTGCAAGTACAGTTCGGATGAAATATTAGGAAAGATTAGAGGTAGTTGGAGGAGGTTCTTCTTTTCTTTAACAAGTAGTAATATGTGAAGTTATAAATATCAGCAAAAAATATTTTCTCCTCAGATGAAGAACGTCCATATCTGGATACGGAGAGCCATTTTTGTTCATTCTGTATATCTGAGCATTTTTATGCAGGCTCATTTCATCCTTCCTGTTTGGTACATTCCCATGCCTCAACCTTCACACCCTCCACCTCACTTGTTTGTCATAGATCCTATTCATTCCAGTATTGTCTGCTATCTTACTCCACCTCCTATTTTGTCTGACGATCTTTCTTACATTGTTCTCAGATCTTTGCTTCTTGAATGCAGCTTTACTTGACTGACTAGCTCAGGAAAACAGGACCCATCTGATAGCATCCTATAAAAGGTCCTCTGTGTACAATATTCGGTGTAATCCTATAATCCATTTGTCTGGTACCTATATTCTGAGTCACACTGTTTTCTTTATACTTTGTAATTATTTCTACTGCCATCTCTGGTCTTTTCTACTATGATATTGATATCAGGATGATAGCTGAAAGACTCATATTTTGTAAAGATAATAGTAAGTAATGCAGTATAGGTACCAGATGATTTATGGTTTGTTTTCTGTCCAGCTTGCAGAATGAACTATGTCTACCCTAATCTATACATTTTATATCTATATTGATCTTATTACTTCATACCCCACATATCCTCTTTGCTCCCACTTTTTCATTTTTCAGTTTACTTAGCTAGTAGCTCTCTTGTAATCTTTATATATAGTTATTATTGGTATATATATAAGAATTCAATATATCATATTGAATGTTTGCAGATCAATCTGGTGATTCACTATCTATTAACTCTCCCCAGTAGGAATCAGATACACTAGTCCAATCACCATACTTATATTAACAATCTGCATATCCTGACTCCCACACTGCTTGCAAACTTAGATGTATTCACTAGTATTGTAAAATCTTCTACCATTCAGTAGATGAAGTACTTGAACCAATACTAGCCAACTGATACCTCTAGCCTTACTCCAGATGTTTTTTATCTTAAATAGTCCTAACAATTATGCTACTTTCCTCCCTTATAGATTCTCATAACTGTTCATTCTACTAGTTTAAATTTGTATCCAATTATTTCTAACTCCTGTATATTGGTAAATCTTCATTCTAGTACAGTAAGCTTAGTGAATCTTGAAGATGACATTTGATTAGAAGTTTGGAACCAGAATTTAAAGCTGAGTAAATTACTCTACTGGACGCAATCCCAGTTCTGTGTAATTTCTAGGTAGTCAGTGCTTATTTGGTACTGTCTACTTGATAGAACATGCTATCTCTTCTACAATAGTAGAATAACTGATCTCAAGGGCCTAATAAAAGTTAATTAGTATTTGAGTATTCTTGTATGGCCCCTGAGAACTCGCTATGGCTGACTGTAACTTGAAGACTGAGAGGTTTAAATCTCTTTTATCATATTGACTATTTTGATTTAGTTATTGGCTTGAGAAAGTTCTTTTATTATAAGTAACCTCATTCCCAGTGCATGCTGGTGGCCATATTATAATAAGATCTGTTGGGTTGCTGCACTCTTATTTGATCTCCTATAATCTTCAGGATCTATTTCTTATGTACCTGTTGATAGATCTTAGTGGAATATATCATAACTGACTCAAAACATCAGACATAGACTGTAAAGTGACTCCGGTAGTGCATCTTGATAAAGTTAAAGTGATTCTCATACTGAACCAAATCTGCCTGGCGATTTATACTTTAACTCCTCTTACCTACTAGTTGACGGCATTTGGTGGTAGTAGTACTGGGAAGTACTATAGTTGGTTGATCTGCTATATATTCTCATAGTTCATGGTGCTGACAACTTGCCTTGGCATGAGTAGCAATTGAGGTACAAAACTCAAGAAAGATATCATTTGTTTGTTAAAATATCTGCAGATAATTTTCTATGTAAGATATGGTATCAGGTATATGACTTTGATACTGTACCATCAAACTGAAATTGCTCAGCATACTAACATATTACAAGATTTGCTTGAAAGGGAATTGCCAAGAACAGTCTGGATTTTATAATATAGATGCTAATACAGCTGAAATACATTGGCTGAGGTTATACATTTTCTTTCTTTATTATTGTATGACTTTCTAATAGGTCTTTTTTAGTACCCTGAATCTGCAGTAAGGAGAATACCCTTTCTACTAGTACATATTGTTAAATGCCTGCTGCCATTTGTGCTTCTGCAGTAATTCTTTTACCTATTCCATTACATATTTAAACAGGCCAAGATAGTTGTTATGCAAGAGGCCTAACTTATAAAGCTCTACAGGATCTATATG